CATTTCTTCCTTAAAGAAACTGGTCCAGATGACATGATTTAACCTTTCTTCTTATAGCTCGTTATATTTCTAATAGTGAGATGTAAGTCCCTTACACGAGGCACAAAATGACAATAAAGCTCTTTAATTTAGTCGAGCTGCTGGAGCGTCTTTGCTCTTTTTTATTTTCCTAAACATACTTCCTCTCTGCGAGGGTCCGGTTCATCTAAAAGCAGCACTTTCATTGAGAAAGTTGTTCTGGCCGTGGTGCACCGAAGGTCATGAGGTCGAAATTTGAGATTTCTCAGTTTTACTTTAAAAAAAAAAAAAAACCTCCTCCTGAAGTCTCTTCCACAGCGAGATGTTCAGTCCACCGGGGCCGGTTTGTTTATGGCGAGACGATGTGATCAGATTAGAACGAGTTTTTATTCATTAAACGTCTTCAACCTGAACGGACCGGAGGATTATAAGTGACCAGGGCGAAGTGGGCAGATGATCGTTTGGACATTATGGTGAAAAATCTTGGTTCAAACCGTTTAAGGGTTTTCTAATTATAAAGAAAAGTTCTTGTATTTTATTGAACTTACAGCACTTTGGTATTTCTTTACTAACACACATAGTTGTATTTATTTGTACCTTTTTAAGTTTTCTGTCCGTCCTGTGTTGAAGCAGACGGGTTTGATTTATTCGGACTTTTCCTTTTGATGAGCTAAAAGTTCTTGAAGCAGCAACAGCAGAACCCAAGCAGTGCTGAATATTTCCAGGTCTTGCTGGTTTGGAAATGTGCTTTTCTTTCTTGGAAAGGGTCATGTTCAACTCCGGGGGGGTGTTGGACCGGGATACCAAATATTAATTTGTTTGCACAACTCGCTCGTAAAGAGGAGTTTAATTTGATGGAAGGAGTTTGGAGACTTTTCAGATTTAGTGAGTTGTGTGGGTAGGTGGTGGTGGTGGGGGGGGGGGGGGAGCTGCGTCTACCTTTGTTTAAAGACACAGAGGGGGCTCTGTCCTGCTACAATGGGGAGGGGGTAGACTGCATGTGTGTGGGAGGGGTGGAGCTTCCAGCCACACCCAGCCTGATCAGCTAAAGCCCCACCTCGCTGTGGAATCTGCAGAGCTGGGTAACTCCAGCCTGCAGTGCACGGCCCCCGCCAGGCCCCCGCCAGGCCCCCGCCAGAGCAACAGGCCAACATGCATCAGTCGGAACGTGACGCCTGCAGTTTTCTGCTAAAACCTCCAAAGTTCACTATTTAAAGTCGCCGCGGATCAAAACGACTCCGATATTCAGATAAACGAGCGTTAACGTGTAAATAAACACGGAAACGTTAAATAACTTCCGTCTTTTGTTCGTTCCTCTTTAAAAGGTTGAACCCCAACACGAACCATTTAAACCATTTTAAATTTAAAAGTGCTATAATTCCTGTTTTCTTAGCTTCCTGCGATGAAAGGCGAGCGATCATGTCTCGTCTCTCCCGTCACCAAACCCGGGTCAGAACCTGGAAGTTTGTGGCTTCAGTGAAATAACTGGGTTGGAACAACTTTTACGGTTTAAAGAATATAGAGACATTTTTTACTGCCGTTACTGTAATTTGAGGTCGTAATAAGATATTTGAGTTTTTATGCATAAATCTAAAATTTGATCTTTGGAAACTTTATGAGTGAGATTTATCTCCTAAAAACAAAACTTTGATACACAAGTAGAGCATTCAAGTTCTTTTATTTAGTTTTTAATCCATAAAACATAAACATTTATATATAAAAAAACCTTTTTAAAATCATTACTGTATTTTTTAGTGTATAAGTCGCAGTTTTTTGCGTAGTTTTGTCAGTCCTGTGACTTATACACTTATAAACCGAAGTGACTTGTATACGTTTATTTTTTTCATATTCATAATTAAATTTTTGACTGTTGCTTTAAATTTTGAAGAACTTCAACGGCGAGTCCTCCCGTGCACGCTCGCTTCACTCAGCTGGTGCAGGTGGAGGAACGCTGGAGAGCTAGCGGCTCCGGTGTGATGGATGGATGAATAGATGGATGATAGATGGATGGATGGATGATAGATGGATGGATAGATGGATGATAGATAGATGATAGATGGATGGATAGATGGATGATAGATGGATAGATGGATGGATAGATGGATGATGGATGGATAGATGGATGATGGATGGATAGATGGATGAATAGATGGATGAATAGATGGATGAATAGATGGATGATAGATGGATGATAGATGGATGGATGAATAGATGGATGATAGATGGATGGATAGATAGATGGATAGATGGATGTATAGATGGATGTATAGATGGATGATAGATGGATGGCGCCGCCCAGGTGAAATGATGCTGTTTTTGACTGATGCGACTTATACGCCAGAAAATACAGAGTATTTGAAGCATCTGCTCAACTATTATTTTGATAAATAAAATACATTTTCTGTTAAACATTCAAAAAAGAGAAACGTATCACACAAACAGTAATAAGTGTCAAACCTGCAGCTTAGCTTTGAGTCTCATCATCGCTGCAGTTAAATCTCAAGACTTTCAAGGCTGCAGTAAAAACTGCTGCCCCCGCGGGGTCACGCAGCTCGGATGAGTCCTCCAACAGGACCGCAACACGAAGAACGTCTCAGAACCAAACACTGGACTGTTCTGAAGCCGTCTGAGCCCAGAACCAGGACACCTGCGGACAGAAGTCTCAAATCTGCTGGATTGCCTCAAGATCTGAGCAACAAAACAAAGTTTTTTCAAGTCCAGCTGTTTTTTTAATAATTCTGCAGAGACTGAATTTCTTTAGTAGGCCTGTCACGATAACAAATTTTACTGGGCGATTAATTGTCTCAGAAATTATTGCGATAAACAAGAATATTGTTTGAAATTTGACATTAATTAATAATTATTGTCAAGTTTAAGAAGAAATGTTGGTTAATTTTTATGTGACGTACCTTTTTTGACCACTGGATGGCAGTATAAGACTGTTTGAACTGAAGGATGGATAGAGAGGGAGCGAACAGCGTGTCTCTTTAAGAAACATGGGAGGGAGGCCCCTTGACATGACATGGGTTGTCTCTCCTTCCTGTTTATTGGTTCTCAAAATGGCGGATGCTCAGTGTGGTTTGAGCTCTTTAGCATTTTTCACACAAAGCTTTTAATAAACATCAGTAAACAAGTTCTCAGCTTCTTTTTGCAGAGAAAAACAACTTTTTACACGAAGGCACGGGTTTCAACCGTGAATTCTGGAGCTTTGACAAGACGCAGGTTTTTTTCCTCGCGGTCGACCTGTTAGCTTAGCTCGTAGCGTAGCTTCTCAGCTTAGCTGCTTTTAATCGTCCAAAAACGTGATTTTTGGACGATTAAAACATATTTTAAGGAGAAAGGGAGGGGTCAGTGAAGATCACCGGAGTTGAGCCTTTTGTCGTCCGGTGTCTTCAGTAGAAAGAGAGACACGAAGAAACGATAAAGCCGATAAATGAAAACGAGGTTGATAATTTTCATTGATCATGCGATTAATTGATTTATTGTTTATCGCGACAGCTCTAATCTTTACATGATTTTTAGTTCTCGTTTCAGCTCTGTGTTATTTCAGTCATCTGTGTGGGGTTTTCCTTTGAACAAAACGTTACAAACTAATTTGTGCACGTCTGGAGCTTAAAGCCGTGGACACATTTGGGTCAAGTTATTCTGAGATCATCAGAACTTCTTGTTTCCTCGTGCTTGAGTTTGTAGCGACGGACGATTCTCTGGATGAAAAGTTTTAGAGGAGACGGACAAATAAGATCCAGCCGGGTGTTTGAGTTCTGCTGTGGCACTCCCCGGCTGCTCGCTCTGTGTGTGTGTGTGTGTGTGTGTGTGTGTGTGTGTGTGTGTGTGTGTGCATGTGTGTGTGTGCGTCTAGCTTGGCTTCCAGAAAAGGGTGTGTCCGCCTGCCTGCCGCTGAAAGAGAGGGAGGGGTCAGCTCACGGCTACTCCTCCCTGTTATTTCTCTTTCGTTCTCATTCCCTCAGTGGCAGCCTCAGGATTTAGGCCTTTGTCTCTCTCTTCTCCTCTGTCTGCTCCTCTGCTCCTCCTTTTCTGTCTCCTTCACACTTGTGTGTGTGTGTGTGTGTGTGTGTTTTCAGCCTACTTTCTTCCGTCAGATTTCAGAGAGGAGTTTTTTATTTGGCAGGAAATTTAAATTTAAGGTAAAGTTCAAACGTTCACCTCCTCCGTCTTCTCTAACTTTTCTCTACCTCCAGCCTGAAACTTTTCTCCTACCTTGCTCTGACCCCTCCCTCCTCCTCCTCTTTCCATGCCCTTTCTTACCACCCCCTCCCCTGTTTTTTCCCCTCTCCTCCCTACCCCCTTATCACCTCCTCTCAGCTCAACCCCCCCTCTTCCTGTCTACCTCTTCCATTTGAGCTCACCTTCCTCTAACCTGACCTCCTCCTTCTCCTCCTCAGTGCCAGTCGACTCCAAAGCAGAAGAAGAGTGCTGTCAGTGGCCGGAAGAAGCAGAGGAGCCCGGCCAGGCAGAGCGCCCCGGCCCGACCGCCCGCAGCCCTAAAAGAGGAGGAGAAGCCGGCGACTGGGCCTCGGCCGCCTCACAGGGTGAAGGAGGAACCGGGCGAGGAGACGCCGAAGGAGTCACCGTCTGTGAGGGTGAAGGAGGAGAAACGGGAAGAGGGCGAGGGAACCATGCCCTCCGTACAGATCAAAGCGGAGCCAGAGGAGATGGAGTGCACGGTGAGGAGGGGGAGGTGGGATGGAGCTGATTGGTTGATTGGGAGGGATGGGGCAGGTGGTTTGATGGAGTAGATTGAGGTGGGGCTGACTGGCACCACCCACAGGTGGACATGTTTCAACATGTTGACTCCTGGCACCGGAGGAGGAACCGTTTGGACTCGACTCCTCTTCAGGCTCCAGAGGAGGCTCGTGTTATCACTCAGCTACTACCACATGAAGGTTGGGTCTGGAACCGACCGGGTCCAGACGTGTTTGTGCTCCATCACATCAGACCCCCGTCGTGAGTTTAGAGCTGAAGATTTAAACAAACGTTTTACATCACTGACCTTTGACCTCTCGGGCATGTTGTCACTGTGGGTTGAACAACACGTGTCTAACAAGCCTCTTCTGTCATATGGATGGGGGGGGGGGGGGTCACAGGGGGTTGAGCAGTCAACAGTCCATGACACAGAACCTGCTGTTGGTTCTGTCAGAGCAACATGAAAACTGCTCAGACCTCCGAGCCGTTTGTAGAATCGTTGCCACGGCAACGACAAAATCAGCTGCAGCCTTCAATGTTAACGACCGGACCCGTCTGTGATCCTGACGGAGATCACGTTCTTTAACTTTAGGTTGTACAACGGCGCGGATTTGATTCGTCTCGTTTTGTGTTCGTGAGGTTCTCCAGAGACCGCAGGAGGCGCTCCGACGAGAGCGACTTCGATTTTCGGCTGCTGTTGGTGTTTTTACGTCAACTTGTAGATTTTCAGAGGACGCATGAAGGAAAATTGCTCAAAGCACCAAATAGGATGAGTTGGAAATGATTAACTTAAATCTTCAGGTGAAAATTAATATTTTATTCTGCAAAACCTCACGGAGAAAAACATGTTTCATTGTCCAAAGTCTTAAAGGGTCAATGGTTTTTAATTGTGAACTAACTGGTGTGTCACCTTTGGGGCCAAATAAGTTGTTAACGAGGGCCGTGTTTGGCCCTCGGGCCTCAAGTTGGACACATGTGCTGTTTTTAGATCTTTGTTGAAAACTTTAGCGTGCAAGGTGGAGGGTTATGTGCATTTACAAGAAATGCAGGTTCCATTGTTGATTCTGCAGCCATTACCTCAGCCTGCTGGGGAGGCGTACGGGGGGGGGGGGGGGGGGGGGGGGGGGG